AGGTAGAATAGGATTTGACGAATCACATCTGACTGAGATAATTACTTTCAGAGACACTGGCAGTTATCTCACGTTATTAAGAGAAGATGTACTGCCCATAACTGACGATACCTATACCAAGATAGATGTATTGTTATAAGCCTATGGTGGGGCTGTTATAAAAGTACCTCTTCACAAAGTTTATATTCAAACAAGCTATTATACTGGTTATATTTCAGTGGGTATATCCAGTGGTGTATTTCCCATCAGGTCAGTGGACTTGTTGATAGGGAACGATATCCTTCATGCTGGTATATGTAAAGAACCACTTGTGATTGATAATAACACTGATGATATTTATGCCATTGAAGCTTGTAGAGAGAAACTTATTTTATTTCCTCTCAGCGCAATTACTAGAGCTATGTCAAAGATTCAACAACCATCCTTGTCTCCTGTTAGAGTTAGTTGATGATAATGATTTGGGGTTGAATATGTTATTAGTGACGCTCTGCGCCCAGGGTCATTAACACTGGCTCCCCCCGGTCATCAACCTAGTCAGGACACTACTGACGTTAAATTTCTAACTCATGATGACTTAATCAAGGATCAGTTTGTTGATCAGTCACTGGAAAGACTGAGAGATATAGCAGTTACTGAGAGTGAAACAAAGGATCTCGATGATTGTTACTATTATAGTAACAGTGTACTGATGGAGAAAAATAAATGTAAGTTGTCAGCTGATAGTGTTTCCACCACAGTCAAGCATCTTGTAGTGTTACCAGTTACATTTCGTGAACAAGCCATTGATTTTGCTCACAATAGTCCCATAGGAGGACATTTGGGTGTCAAGAAAACACTTGGTAAACTGGCAAAACATTTTACTTGGCCTAAGATGAAGGAAACAGTAGCTGATCATGTGCGACGTTGCCACGTGTGTCAAGTGACAGGCAAGCCAGCACACACACCTCCACCAGCGCCTCTCATTCCTATCACCGTGGATGGTGAACCATTCTCACGTCTTATTATTGATTGTGTTGGTCCTTTGCCTAGAACCAAACTAGGAAACCAATACCTATTTACTATTATGGACGCTGCAACACGCTATCCCGAAGCTATTCCTATGAGAAAAATTAATGCTCGTGCTATTGCGAGAGCGCTGATGAAATTTTTATCCCAGGTTGGATTGCCACGAGAGATACAATCAGATCAGGGATCTAATTTCACTTCTAAGATCTTTCGAGAAGCATTATCCCACCTAGGAATAAAGTCTGTACTTTCAACCAGTTATCATCCACAGTCACAAGGGGCTCTTGAGAGATTTCATCAGACACTGAAGTCCATGATGAGAGCTTATTGTGAACATTTTTCTAGAGACTGGGATGAGGGTATACCTTTTCTTCTGTTCGCTATGAGAGAAAGTGAGCAAGAAAGTCTCGGATTTAGTCCGTTTGAATTAATATTCGGACACCAAGTGCGTGGTCCTCTCGCAGTGTTGAAAGACGTGTGGACAGGAAAATCAAATCCATCATTGAGTACTTCACCTTCATTAATGCAACAACATTTGACAGCCGCTAGAGAGCTAGCTTCGAAAAACCTAGTTTCAGCCCAAGCTAGAATGAAGCAACATTATGACAAGTGTGCTGTCTCTCGTTCTTTTAAAGCAGGAGATAAGGTGATGGCTCGGAAATTAGTACCAGGTCATGCTCTACAAGCCAGGTATGATGGTCCCCTGGAAGTAGTGAAAAAGCTTAGCGACGTAAATTATTTGGTACGTACGCCTGGGAAAAAGAAATCTAATCATGTGTACCATGTTAACCAGCTCAAGGCATACTACCTACTACCTACCTACTACTACCTACTACCTACTACTTCTATTCTTCCTAGGACAGAGGAAGAAAACGTCAGTCTACCTGACATCTCTAGAGGTATAGAGGTGCGTTTAGAAAATTCTGTGACTCTACAGTCACTAGACGATTTTCTTAGTAACCTTGGGATTGATAAAGCTGGTGATATTAAAAACATGATTTTGCATTTCCCTGAATTGTTCGGTGATGTTCCTAAACGTTGTACTCTGGGTGTACATGACGTTGATGTACAGGGAGCATCACCCATTAAGCAATCACCATAATAGGATGAGTCCAACAAAGCATAAAGCATTGAGAGAAGAGGTTGATTTTCTGTTATCTCACGGACTTATTGAACGCAGTAAAAGTCCATGGGCATCTCCCTGTATTTTAGTGCCTAAACCTGATGGTAGTTTCAGGATGTGCACTGATTACAGGAAAGTGAACTCTGTCACCTTGCCTGATGGTTATCCTCTACCTCGCATTGACGACCTTATTGATCGTGTGTCAGGAGCCCAGTTTGTCAGCCGTTTAGATCTCTTACGAGGCTATTATCAAGTCCCGCTTACTGAACGTGCTCAAGAAATATCTGCTTTTACTGTTCAAGATAGATTGTTTAACTACCTCGTCACCCCCTTTGGCCTATGTAACACGGCTTCTTCATTCCAACGTATAATGAACGAGTTGACCCACAACTTAGAAGGAGTAGAAGCCTACCTTGACGACTTAGTGGTGTACAGTGACGAGTGGGAACAGCACTTGACTCGTCTCAGAGCATTGTTTGAGAGACTCGCGCACTACAACTTCACTGTTAACTTAGCTAAATGTAGTTTTGGTCAAGCCAAGATTACCTATCTAGGCTTTTGTATCGGCCAAGGTGAGGTTGCTCCTATTGAGGCTAAGGTTCGTGCAATTTCTGAATTTCCAGTGCCACAGGATAGGAAAGGAGTACAGAGATTCCTGGGTATGGCAGGATATTATCGCAGGTTCTCTCCAAACTTTTCTCAGATTGCAGCTCCTCTCACCGAGCTTACTAGTAGCAAAGTTCAGTTCACCTGGACTAGAGATTGTTCAGACTCATTCAAAAGGTTGAAGCGCTTGCTATCCTCTGCTCCTGTGTTGAAGAGTCCTAATTTCAATCTTCCCTTCTTTTTATATATAGATGCGAGTGGTTATGCAGTGGGCGCTGTGCTGCTCCAACAGTCAACATCCACTGATATTCTCCATCCTCTATGTTACTATTCATCTAAGCTTAAACGACACCAGAAAAATTATGCCACTATTGAGAAAGAGGCTCTAGCTCTTGTGGTGTCCTTGGAACATTTTGACGTGTATTTGGGCACTTCCCCATTTAAAATTAACGTTTTTTCTGACCACAATCCACTCACTTATATAAATACTATGAAGAGTAAAAATGCTAGGATCATGAGGTGGGCCCTCAGAATCCAACCTTTTGTGACTTTTGTGGAGGATCTGCTGATGATCCCTAGTGTCGTTATATAATCTCCTTGTTCCTGATTCTGTGTCGCAGTTGCTTGTTACATTGCTATTGGGCTTAGCGTTCTTTTTATTGTTCAAGCAGACTGTTCTGATTGCCAGTTGGTTTCTAAGAAGTTAGTTTATTTGAGGACTTTGTCAGTCACTTGTTTAAGTCTAGTCGAGTCGTGATACATAGCAAACTACTTAGAGCATTTACACATATACACACAAACTTACTTGTACATATTTGTAATATCTTATTAAATGTTAATGTACCAGAGGGTACTTAAGAATTATAAATGTGATATGTGCTTTCAGCACAATAATACTGTACACGAGAGAAGTGATTATTATTAATTTGTTTGAATTGATTAATTTAATTTAATTTGATGATATACCTCTAGACGATACTTAATAAATTTATTAAATTTTATTTTCTCTAGTTAGTAGCCTACCAGTTGTAATCCTGAAGCACTATTGAATCATACTGAATTCTAATGGATAATTGGACAAGGATACTGACTAATTGTTACGAAAACCCAGTAACAGGCTGGATGCTAGAAGGGCAGTCCTTTCTAGTATTCACTGGAGATCTCTAAGCTTTTAGAATCGCGTTTTTTGTAACAAGGAGTATGCATGATAAACACACAGGGCAGTGTTTAGTTAAGTCTGCAGATGGAGGCTGACCCAAGGAACCAAGGACCATACAGAATGATCACAACAGACTAATACACCTCTCTCCCCAATATGTAAAGGAGTTCCTATTTGGGGCTGCAAGTACAACAAAGGAATGATAATATTTGATGAGATTTCCTCAGTCTCGGGCAATTATCCAAGAGACAGACAGGTAGATTGTATACACAGCGACGAAGAGTTTACCAAATTTATTTTAAATGCCTTATAAGAAAAATGTAAATACTTTCCAGGTACATTCTTCAGGAAAGATCTTGACATTATACAGTGGAACCTCGGCTTTTGTTTTTAATTCATTCCAGAGTGTCTGACGAAAACCAAATTCGACGAAAACTGAAGCAATATTTCCTATAAGAAATAATGTAAATCCAATTAATCTGCTCCAGACACCCATAAATATTAACAAAAAATACATTTTATAGACACTAACTATAGCTTTACATACAGAAAAAATGAGAAATAAATATAAAGCACTAATGAAATGGATAAATGAACATTTAAATCACTTTTACCTTTACTGAAAGCTCTAGTTGGTGTATGGAAGATGGTGAGGAGGGGAGAGGGAGGAGAGGTTATCTCTACCACCATTACTATGAGAAACTATGAGCAACAAAGCCAGACTGACTCAGAATGCGTGTGTGGAATGATTTGTGTGGGCACGGCACGCAGACACGTTCGGTACGGCCTCTACCACAATGACAACCACCCTCTACAACCATCACTACCACCCTCTACAACCATCACTACCAGAAACTACGAGAAACAAAGTCAGACTGACTCGGAATGCATGCATGGGATGCTTTATGTGGTCGCGGCAGGCAGACACATTCTGTACGGACAAAAACTGAGGTGACAAACGAAAACTGGGACAATATTTTGATGAAGTCGTTGAAAACTGAATTCAACGAAAACCAGGGCAAATGAAAACTGAGGTTCCACTGTATCAATGAGTAGAGCAATTTTTAAGTTATAATACAGCATCTGTGCCAAGTAAAGGAAAAAAAATTTCTACAAAACAAAAATTTATGGAAAAGTTAACTCACCTTTTTACATACTTCATCTATGAGACAAGCATGTTTCCCTGATATTCTAAATTTTGAAGAAGTCTTGCTCTTCTCCTTGACTGTCGAATGTTTGTGCTTAAAGTCAGAATGTTGAGAATAAGCTTTATTTTTTCCCTGTTTGTCACAATGAGGTTCCTGCTGGCACTTTTCACTCCCCTGCATGTTCTTATCATTCTTTGCTTCTGAACCCACAACTTCCATTTTTGATTCTTCTTTCTGTTCGCAATTATCATCAGTCCAAAGCAAATAATTTCCCTGTTCAAAATCTAAATAGTCCTCATCTAGCATTGCTTTTTGTTTAGAATTTTCTGTTACATGTTCAGAGTTTGGCTCATCTTCATAATTCTCAGCAGTCTGCTTACAACATGGGCCTTCTTGTTCAAACAATTCCAATGAGTCCTCTGTATATGCGTTATCTCTGCAATATTTAGTTTCCAGCTTAGGTTGCACATCACCTTGTTCAAACTTCTGGATTGCTTGCTTGGATTTATTGTTTTGCTGTTTAAACTCCACAGCCTCCTGTCTGGATTTGGAACTGTCTTGTCCTGAATCTTTTACAGTCAACTCTGTTTCAGAATTTTCGGCTTCAAGTTTATAAACTGGATCTTCTTTCTTAGAATCCTTAATTTCAGAATTCACTATTGGATATTCTTGTGTGGTATCCTCGGTTGATTGTTTAGGCTTAGAATAATCCTCTTTACAATTCTTATTTAAATGCTGTGGTTTTGAACATTCCTGAGATATATGCATCAAGTCTGAGTTTTCTTGTTTAAAATCTTCATTTGTATGTTTAGTTTCGGAAGCCTCTTGTTCCAAATTATCAGTTGTCTTCAGCCTTTTATCTTTCTCTTCAGAATCCTTGATAATCAGCTTCAACTCTTCACTTCCTTGCATATATTTATCATACTCATTTTTTAAGCCTGCAACTTCCATTTTAGAATCCCCATTCTCTTCATAATACATTTCACTCCAAAGCAAATAATCTCCATACTCAAAATCTATAGAATCCTCATTTAATTTGGTCTTCTGTTTGGAATTACCAGTTTTATGTTCATCCTTGGAATTTTGATGAGAATCTTCAGTTGACTGCTCTGTATTTTTTCCTTTGGAACACACGGTTTCTGACTGTAGATGGTTTTCCTGTTTAAAATTCTGGACTGTTTGCTTTGAATTGCTGTATTTTTGAGTAAAATCTTCAGCTTCTTGAATAAATTTGGAATTGCCTTGTTTTGAATCTTTCAAAATCAACACTGTTTTAGAATCTTTATTTTCCAGTTTAGAAACATTTTCTTTAGAATCTTCTGTCACCTGCTTAAATTCTTCACTTCCCTGCTTGTTTTTGTCATTCTCCTTTTCTGAACCCACAACTTCCATTTTAGACCCATCTTCCTGTTCACAATTAATATCAGGCCAAAGCAAATAATTTTCTTGCTCAAAATCTAAGTAGTCTTCATCTACCATGGCCTTCTGTTTAGAATTTTCTGTTACAGGTTCAGAGTTTGTCTCATCTTCATAATAATTAGTGGCCTCCTTAAAATTCGTACTTTCCTGTCTAAATTCTGTTGAGTACTCTGTATCTGTGTTAGCTTTGAGATACTCAGTTTCCAGCTTAGTTTGCAGACTTTCCTGATCAGCCTCATTTGAGTTTTTGGTCTGCTGTTCGAACTCCACAGTGGCCTGACTGAATTTGGAATTGTCTTGTTTTGAATCTTTCATAGTCAACTCGTATTTAAACTCTTCGGTTTCCTGTTCAGAAACTGTATCCTCATGCTTTAAATCCTGAGTTTCTGAAATCACCTTTGGACATGTGTTACCCTCGGCTGACTGCTCAGTTTTCTGTCCTGTATGCCCAGCTTCATGTTCAAATTCTGACTTTTCTACATAATCATTAGCCACTTCCTTAGAATCACTCAAAAATCTTTCACTTTCTTTGCACTTTGTATTCATACTGCTTTCACCTGTTTTTTCTGAGCTTGTGTTTGAAATGTGCATAATCTTAGTGTCCATGTCTCTAATGACAGAGGCTGGCAGAGGGCTTCTACAACATAGCTGGAATATATCCTCAAAACTGAGTGATGCCTCCTCTGCCTCATCAACTGAAAGATGAAACATTACGTGAGCACACCCTTGCATATAACATAGTAACTACAATAATGTAAAATGTAAATGTAATCAAATCTGTACTGAATATCTTAACTTCACTGACATATTTTGGATACAAGAATTATCAGAACTATAAATATATTTCCTATTAAACACTGAAACATTGTAGAGAAAATTTCAAATCAATTTACAAATACAAATCTCATGTTTTACTCATCCTCATGTGTTTTCACAAGACCACAACACAAGACACAGATCTCTTTTTGATATACCTCATGTCCATATCATACTGTGTAAAAATTCTATACACATTGCAGAGTCACTTGTTTGCACAGAACTGCTTAATGCCTCAAATGACGTAGTGGAAGTTTTAGCAGTAAAGGTCGAGAACCAAAACCTAGTCATTGTGGTAGTCTACAAGCCTCCGGATGCAACATCCCAGCAATTCCAGGAACAGCTGTTAAAAATTGACCACTGTCTGGAAAATCTTCCAGCTCCTGCACCCAACATCTTCCTCCTGGGGGATTTCAACTTAAGGCACCTAAAATGTAGGAATATAGCAAATAATATTTTTGTCAGTAATAAACACCAGGAGGCAGCTCTGAGGGAAAACTCACCTCACACGAGCTTTTAAATCTCTGCACAAAATTAAATTTTAAAACCAGCAAATAATAGAGCCTACTAGAATGGAAAATACACTAGACCTCATCTTCACTAACAATGATGATCTGATAAGAATGTCACTATATAAAAAACAATATACTCGATCACAAACATAATTGAGGTTCAGACATGTAGAGTGGAGCCCCAGACTGACATAATGAGACTAGTCACGAGGGAGCATTCACCAAATTCAACTTCAATAACAAAAACATAAAAGTGGGACCAGTAAACCAAGTCCAAACCGATATAAGCTGGGAAGATATACAAAGCAACACAGACCCAACTTATGCCTAAAACAGATTAACTCGGTGGCACTCGATGTATGCAAAAGGCTTATTCCTCTAAAAAAAAAGGAGAGTAGATTAAAATAGAAAGAGACAGGCGTCCCTTTACAGGCGACGGAAAAGAATAACAGAGCGGCTAAAAGAGGTCAATATATCTGAAATGCGCAGGGGAACCACTGGTCAGAGAAATAGCAAGCATCGAACTTAAGCTAAAAGAATCCTTTAGGAGTCAGGAATCGCGGGAAGAACTAAAAGCTATAAATGAAATCGAAAGAAACCAAAATATTTCTTCTCCTATGCCAAATCAAAATCGAGAACAACGCCCAGTATTGGCCCCCACTTAAACAAGATGGGTCCTACCAGATGACAGCAAGGGAAAAGAGTGAGCTACTCAAGTCCCAATATGACTCAGTTTTTAGCAAGCCCCTAACCAGACTGAGAGTCGAGTCAAAATTAATTTTTTATGAGAGAGCCACAAAATTTGATTAACACAAGCCTATCCCATGTTATCCCGACGCCAAATGACTTCGAACAGGCGATAAATGACATGCCCATGCACTCTGCCCCCGGGCCAGACTCATGGAACTCTGTGTTCATCAAGAACTGCAAGAAGCCCCTATCACGAGCCCTTTTTCCTCCTATGGAGAGGGAGCATGGACACGGGGGTCGTCCTCAGTTACTAAAAACAACAGACATAGCCCCACTCCACAAAGGGGGCAGTAAAGCAACAGCAAAGAACTACAGACCAATAGCACTAACATTCCATATCATAAAAATCTTTGAAGGGTCCTAAGAAGCAAGATCACCACCCATCTAGGGAAACCCATCAGTTACACAACCCCGGGCAACATGGGTTTAGAACAGGTCGCTCCCGTCTGTTCAGCTACTGGATCACTACGGGCAAGGTCCTAAAAAGCACTAAAGACAAAAAGAATGCAGATGTAATATATACAGACTTTGCAAAAGCCTTCGACAAGTGTGACCATGGTGTAATAGCGCACAAATGCGCTATAAGGGAATAACAGGAAAAGTGGTCGTTGGATCTATAATTTCCTCACTAAACAGAAAAACACAGAGAGTTGTGTCAACAGAGTATCAAGTCCGCGGCAGCTACGGTGAAAGCTATGTTCCACAAGGCCACTGTACTAGCTCCCATCTTGTTTTCATCCTATATCCGACATCGACAAGGATGTTCAGCACGCAACGTGTCTTCATTTGCAGATGACACCCGAATCTGCCAATGACAGTGTCTTCATTGCAGAACACTGCAAGGCTTCCAGGCAGAACATCAACCAAATCTTTCAGTGAGGCTGCAGAAAATCAATATGAAGTTCAACGATGAGAAATTTCAATTACTCAGTTATGGTAAACATGAGGAAATTAAATCTTCATCAGAGTACAAAACAAATTCTGGGGGGACCACAAAATAGAGCGAAACACCAACGTCAAAGACTGGGAGTGATTATGTCGGAGGATCTCACCTTCAAGGACCATAAACATTGTTTCAATCGCATGCTAGAAAAATGTCAGGATGGATAATGAGGAATCTCAAAAACTAGGGGGCCAAGCCCATGATGACACTCTTCAGGTCACTTGTCTATCTAGGCTGGAATTTTGCTGGCACACTAACCAGCACCTTTCAAGGGACAGGTGATATTGCCGACCTAGAAAATGTACTGAGAACTTTCACGGCACGCATAAGGAGATAAAACACTCAAATTACTGGGAAGCGCTTGAGGTTTCTAAACCTGTATTCCCTGGAACGCTGGAGGGAGAAGATACATGATTATATACACCTGGAAAATCCTAGAGGGACTAGTACCGTACTTGCACACGAAATCACTCACTACGAAGCAAAAGACTTGGCAGCGATGCAACCATCCCCCAATGAAAAGAAGGGTGTTCACTAGCACGTTAGAAGACCATACAATAAGTGTCAGGGGCCCGAGACTGTTCAACTGCCTCCCAGCACATGTAAGGGGGATTACCAACAGACCCCTGGCAGTCTTCAAGCTAGCACTGGACAAGCACCTAAAGTCGGTTCCTGATCAGCCGGGCTGTGGCTCGTACGTTGGTTTGCGTGCAGCCAGCAGCAACAGCCTGGTTGATCAGGCTCTGATCCACCGGGAGGCCTGGTCACAGACCGGGCCGCGGGGGCGTTGACCCCCGGAACTCTCTCCAGGTAAACTCCAGGTAAACATAAAGAGCCCCAAAATATGGAATTCATTACCAGAAGATATTAAAGTAACCCAGTCTGAAAAACAATTTAAGACTCTTCTCAAAAACCACTTAATCACCCTAGACTAAATGCTAAATACTCAGTACACACTTACTCACCTATGTACTCCCACATCATAACTGAAACAATCACACTGAACCTTTTATCCATTGTTGACAGGAATATAACTGAATCATTGTTTTCACAAAAGCATTTTAGAATATAAATATATCTTTGTATTATACAAATTTTGATTAATTTATAATTAATATTCTACTGTACAACTATGAAATAATTACTATCCTACTGTACAACTTTGATACACCTACCATCCGACTTACGACCGAGTTCGGTTCCGAGAAACCGGTCGTAAGTCGAAATGGTCGTAAGTCGAACTTTACTACTGAATATCAACAAAACATTTTTGTAATGACTTTATTTTATTGTTTTATTTTGGTATTTCATGTTTTACTTTACTTTTTATGTTGTTAGTACTGTATTTTATACTGTAAGGTTTAGGATAAACACTGTGTACAACACAAATAGTTGTTTATTTCCCAGAAATTTGGCATAAAAAACACGGTCGTAAGTCAAGTGGTAGTAAGTCGAGCAGGTCGTAAGTCAGATGGTAGGTGTATACTCCTTATGATTAAGTAAACTGTAAGCCAATAATGTTAAGTTGGCCCATAATGCCTAGGCATAATAAATGAGAGTGAGAGAGAATGAGTACATGAGAGAGGACTGGCACAGAAATATGTAAACAAACCAGGCAAATGCAAGTTTTGTAAACAAAGTATACACATCTGGTTTGTGTACAAGTTACATTGTATACAAGTTGTCTCTACATTGAAATGGTAGAATAAATAAAGAACCCTCCCATTCTCATGTAACACCATTTTTAGAAGAAATGACGCTCTGAGTGTAGGCAACGGAAATAAGTCACTCTGACTTTTTTGGGTTATCCTAGGTTCTCTACACATATGCTGTTATGTATAATAATCTATGTAACTGTATTTGTGTATACCTGAATAAACTTACATATATACGAAAGGAATAATTTTCTACAGTTACCCCCAGTAACACATTTTCCCTGATGTTGGGCTAGAGAAAATGTTATTCTTGCCGTCACTCGCAAAAGTCTGGCTACCACATCTCATATTTATGTTTATTTATCATCTTTATATGTTATGTATCGTGTTTATTATATAATTTTGAAAAAATATCATAGATGGATAAATGAAAATATGTATATTAACATAATATATGATATTTAATGAGACTCGGTAACTATTATTATCAATACGTACTAATATGACGTCTTGAGATATAAGACACTCTTACTGATTTTAATGTGTACCTGCATGCCAGCACAGTATGCAAGTTTATTTAGGTACAGGTATACATAAGTATAATTATCAAAGTATTTATAAAATATGAAGTAACTTTTAAAAACACTTGAAATTTTGGAGTTTCCAGACATAATGGAGAGACTTAGTGCTTACGGATCTCACAGAGAATATAAACAAACTGGGTGGGGCACGGTGACCTTATTAGTAAGTCAGGTGGGGGAGCCATATAGTGTATTTTGGTCATAATTTGAAATGACCGTAATTAGCAGAACACCATAAGGCGAAATGCCGTAAAGCAGAGCCCTACTGTACATATTATTATTATTATTATTATTATTATTATTATTATTATTATTATTATTATTACAATATAAATAATATGCAATTTTTATTCACACAAAAAAATGTAAGATTTACTGTTATGCCTTATTGCAATAATTGTATAAATAAAGTCAACCTATTCACGACTGCATATTGGA